ACAGGGATTTAGGGAGATAGTGGGGTTAGGGAGGCTGCAATGTGATCAGCATATGAAATCACTGCCTGGGCCTTATAGAAGGTGATGGGCTGGTTTGGTTTAGCTGGATTGCTGTCGGGTGTTACTGGGCTGTGTCCAGGACACTGGTGGCCCATCCCAGCACTGTTGTACCCTGGAGCAGTCAGGGGACAACGTCCTCTTACCTGTGCCCCAGGGCAAACCTGCACAAAGCCACACTGCAGCTGCGATTTCACAGAATCAAGGTTGGAAAAGACCTTTAAAACCATCAAGTTCAACCATTAGAAGAGTTGCACGTAGCTCCTGTGTGTCTGGATGCGTGCTTGCTCCCCACACGAGTGTGCTTCTGCACCCACACACGCATCCAACACGCACAAGCTCACTTGGACAAGGAGGCTTCCCGTTTCTGTAGAAGAGGAGCGATGAAAGCAGAGAGGATGACCAGGATGGAGGGAGATGCTGGTGAATTATGCATGACACAGGGAGGAGAGCCGTTATCTGCACGGACAAAGGCCTGTGCCAGGCAGCCCCGCTCTCGCTGTACCTGTCCCTTCCTTTCGCCAGCGCTTTATCTCCGCTCCCAGCTTGTAATTCAGCCCAAATATCAGAGGAAGCTGGAAGATTAATTTTCTCTCTTTGCATGGCAAAGGAGAGGGGACACGCTCTCACTCCAGACTCCCAGCTGCTTAATCCACCACGGAGGCCTGCCGAAGGAAAAGGCAAACATTTATCAGTGTTGGCAAGTTACTGGTGCGGGGAGGGATGCTCGGACGCGGTGCTTGCACTGAGCCAGGCCCCCCACAAGCAATGGGCTCTCGCAGCAGGGCTCGGTGTGCTTGGTGTGTGGACATTTGGGGTGGCATGAAGGAAAGCAAAACCTTACTCCCTCTGCAGTGTTAGAGCCCAGAGGAATGTGTGGGGCTTGGGAGGGCTGGACTCCTGCCCTGCCATGCCACAGAGTGTGACCTGTGTGTCCTTCCAGTGTGGGAGCGTTCACGGCTCCAATATTTAAGAGATGACAAGTGTATTAATATAAAAAACTAGATAAAGATCCCTTGAGTTTAAAGCAGGAAACATCATCTCAGCTCTTATTTCCCAGCCCTCTCCCTTAGCTTACTCCCTAGCTTAAATGAAATCATAAATATCAGCCCACAAAGGTCCTTTGTCACTGCACGCAGCTCCCGGCGACAAGAGGTCATTCATTAAAAGCCAGATGAAGGCAATAGAGACTCCCATTGTTTTTTAATGAGTTCAGGATAAGGCCGTGGCTTCTCTGCTGACATTAATGCACAGTTTCGCTGCGAGGAGCAGAGGCGATGGACTGCATGTCACTGCAGACAGGTTTGGCTGATCCCATCTTCACCCCGGCACGCAGGCAGAGACCACAGATAAACCTGCTTCATCGTTCAGAGTGATGGTGCAAACACGGCCCCTTCGGCCCCCTCCTTGCAGATTTCTGCTCTGACAGCAGGATGGAGCCGGGAGGAGGCTGGGCTCTGCTCCCAAGGGATGGGACAAGAGGAAACGGCCTCAAGCTGCACCAGGGCAGGTTTAGATGGAGCTGAGGAACAATTCCTGCCCCAAAGGGTGCTCAGGCATTGGAACAGGCTGCCCAGGGCAGGGCTGCAGTCACCGTCTCTGCAAGTGCTCACACACTGTGGAGACGAGGCCCTCAGTGCCATGGGTTAGTGGTGGCCTTGGCAGTGCAGGGGAATGGTGATGATCTTAACTTGACGATCTCAAGTCTTCTCCAGCCTGCTTGATCCTATGATTCTGTGATGCACTGAGCAATACTCCGCAGGGCTGAGCAGGACCGAGGCCCCGCAGCTCCCACCCAGCACATGAGCGTGATGCCATCTGCCGGCCTGTGGCTTGGCCCAGCCGCCAGGAATTGCAAGTTCATTCCCAAAATGTCCAGCTAAACCCATGCTGCCCTCCCTGCTCCGGCTATGGAATCATTTCTTTGTGAAACCCATGCTGTAGTAATGGGCATCAAGAGAAACGCACCCAAGAGCATCTTTTCTTCCCCTGGAGAAAGGTTGCTGCCTTGAAGTTTCTCGTTTTCCCCTTCTTTTCTGCTTTTTGGAATGCTTTTTGGTTCAGGAAGACCATCATGCTCTAACTGCTTTCGGATTAAAAGGGACTTAATAAAGGTTTCCCCTGAGCACAAAGCTGCACAAATGGGTTTGCAATTCTGGACTTCATTCCATAGGAGCTGGGCAGGGAGATCGGTGTTTGTGGAGCTCCATGGGTGGATGAGGCTGGGAGGGAAAGGTTTTGTTACTGCAGGGCTGCTCAATGTGGCACTGGGGCAGATTTCTTTGCATTCAGCCCCAAACGATGAGGCCCGGGGCCACCATTGGCATCCCCATAGGCAACAATCCCAGTCACATCGTGGGCTCGAATCTCCAGTGGCTGGAGGAGGCGAATGGGCTAAAGCCCAAAGAGGGGGAGAGAGCAGGAGGGGCTGGAGGAGGCTTTCTGCTGCCTGAAAACTGTGAAGTGCTTCCGCCAGTAATCGCCGGAATCATCAAATTAGCATAAATCCTATTAACGGTTTCCCAGATGAGACATTTCAAGGCTTCTCCCCCCCCTCTCCCTGCCACAAACAAAAGAGAATATAATTACTTTGCAATAAGGCAGCTCCTGGAGAGGCTCCTCCATCCTTCTGCCTTCTCTTGTCCCTTGAAATGAAGCTAAACCGTGACGATACGCAAGGTGCTTTTGACCTCTCTGCTCTCCTCATGCAGCAGGCAGGGAAGACTCTGCAAAGCTTTGAGGGATCGCGACCAAGCAAGTGGGGTGCGACGGAGGACGTGGCCTGTTTGCCGTGTCCACATCAGATCAGCAGGGGAAGGGGGGTTCTGAGGTGCTGTCTTGGGCTCCTCAGCTCCTGATGCCCTTGGAGCATCGTGTTTCAGAGGAGGATTTGGCACTATGATCACTGAATACATAGGGAAGGAATCTCATTTGCTTAGCAGAGGAAGCCAGTACCTAACGCAGTAACTCACTACAAGCACCACGGGGGCAATAATCTGCAATAATGTGCTTTTTTATCGGCATGAGATTGTGGGTGACAACGTAAAAGAGAATTTGCTCACGAGCAAAAGCCTCCTTAACCCTTATGAATGGCACTAAACCAACTTCCCTGCCTAGAAACACGGTCTGCCAAGAGAGACATCTTAGCGGGGAGGATTTAACCACAGGCAGGAGCCACAGGAGGCCCCGGGGCTGGCACTGGACCAGTTGAACCCCCTCAGAACTGGGGTGCGAGGAGGGCTGCGATGGGGTGCGCATGCACAAGAGGCTCTCGGCAGAGCCAAGCGTCGCCATCAGCCTCCAACTTGGGGCAAATGGGGCTTTTGGATGCTTTTGTGGTCAAGGATTGAGGTCGGGTCCTTCCTCTTGCTCCGCCGTTGACGCCGAGGATGAGCTGTGTCTCTTCTGGGCTTCAGCTCCCTATAAAACACAGACAATCTTGATTACCTTCCCCAAGGAAGCCTCGCTGATGTTTACTCTTCAGAAGGCCTTGAGGCTCTTTCCGATCTATTATGAATTAATTATTATTAATTAAGTTAAAGCAGGCTTTATAACCTACATAAAGCAGTTCTGACAAAGCAGCTGGGTGCTGGAGAGCAATCTGCTTCGCTAACTCCCTTTCCCACGTTGCATTTAGTTCCGCTTTCTAATGGCTAACATCCCCTCGTCAACTACCCACTGTTTTGGTCAGATTTAAAAGATTCGGTCGCATTCTGAGTTGATGATTATGCGATTCCGCTTCTAAGTATTGGGGTTTTATGGCTTTGCACGTGGAATGCCTGCGGGTGGCTCGGAATGGGGCTTTGCCTTTGGCACGCAGGAGGGATCAACAGCTTTTACTCAAATCGGTGTTTTAAAGGCAAAAACGAGCTGGGACATCATATGTCTCAAGAGATAACACCTAAGAAGCAGCCTCCCGGTGCTCTGAACCAGCCGCGGGTTGCATCCAGCACTGGCGCTCTGCAGAACCCCTGTGAGGGGCTCAGACTCACCCGTGCCCGTGTGCCTCAAAGTCACACCTGGGTCCTACCTCAGAACGGCTTTTTCTCCCCAAAACAGCCCCTCTGGTGCCAATGGCTGCCTTTGGGCCCTCAGAGAAGCCGCAGCCCTCCGCTCCGGGCGGCCTAGGCCCTAGCAGCTCTGTTGCTACGCAACGCGGGGTGGAGGCAGCTGCCAACAGTAAAGATGGCGCCTGGGCGGCTTCACCCTGCGGCCTCACGGGCCGCCCGCCCACCTTCTTGCCGGGTGTGGAGCGGACAGGCCCCGCCCTCACTAGACATGGCGCCGGCTTGGCTTCAGCCTCCCAACGAGCACAGCCAATGAGAGGCGCGGGTGGATGGGGAGCACGCTGGGATTGGCTGGCTGCCGGGATTCAAACCCAAGTGCGGGGCGGTTGGCTACGGCCGTTGGAGCTGGAGCTTGCGGCGGGCCGGCGGCCCAGGTGAGTGTGGGAGAGCGGCTGACGGGACCTCAGCACCGGGACCGGTTTCCCCCCCATCCCCTAGGCCTCGGGTTCCCCTCACCCAGGCCTCGGGTCCCCACCGGTGGAGCGGAGCCGCCGTCGTGGGCCGGCGCCTTGGGCGGGCCGGGCCCGGCGGCGGTTGCCTCATTTTCCGTCACTGCCTCCGGTCTCCGTTGCTGGTTTTTTTTTACCGTGTTCCTTCCCCGGGCCCTGCCGTCGAGCTGGGCTCTGATGCCCGTGGTGGTGGTGGTGGTGGTGGTGGTGGTGGTAATTCAGGCACGAAAGTAGAAGGGGACTGAAGCCGGCTGCAAGGAGCAGAGCAGGGCCCTTCAGCAGAGAGCTTCTCCCCCCAGTGTAGATCAGGTAACCGGGAAACCCCCGAGATACCTTCGTGTCTGTGGAGTCTGGGACTGCGGAGCGGGTACTGAGGGCTTTCCACGGCTTTCCTTTAGCTGGAGTGCTCTCCCTCCCGGTACCTGTGTTTCTATGTGCTTCTGGTGGTAATGTATTGGTCCAGGCTGCCCTGTGTGCCCCAGCAAGTTATTGCACGGGCAAAGTAATTTCTGTGTTGCTGAGTTGGAGACTTTCCTCTTCATTGCTTCTGTTTATGCCATTGTTGCTAATGGTTGAGGGAAATGTGCTGACTGTCTGAATGTGAGCAGCTATTTGTGGCAGGAGCTGTAATTTCAAAGGCTGCTAAATTTAAAACTGTATTAAAATCCCAAGAATGCGGCTCCTATTTTTATCTTACTCTGAAAACTTGCACATTTTTAGTGGCCTATATAGTACAAAGTTATTTGCAGGCAGGGCATGAGCTGCGTTCTGCAGCTTTCCAGAAGGAGGGTGATTTGGGATCCCTCAGCTTGCCTTGGCTTCTGGGCCTCTGTAGTGTTCTGGAGAGTATTTGAAGCAATAAGGTGAAGTGAGCTACTGCCTCTGTGGCTCTGCTGTCCATAAACTGGAGGGGTGAGAGTCTTCGTTCCCTACAGAGACTTTAGCTGCATCTGTCTCCATCAAATAACTTGGCTTCTAAAACACGCCTGAAAAACGAACTAATTCTAAAGCTGATTCTCTTTTCTTTGGGCTGGTGCCATGTTGGCTGCTTGGAGGTGGGAAGAAAGGGCTGGGCTGTTGGTTAACCTCTGGTTTCTTGCAGGAAGATGGAGATTGAGACTGTGGTGCTGAATTTACGGAATCTGTGCGAGCAGTTTGAGCGCCAGGCTGAAGTTTTAAGTGAGGGAACTGAATACAGTAAGTTCTGCTTCTGAAAGGGGGTTGTGCAAACAGACATCACTTGCTGCTGTTGAAGAATCAGTTGATGGATGATGTTAGGGGGAATAAAACTGCTACAGGCACCGGGATTTGAGGGGACTTTCATTGTTAAGTAATACGAAGTCGCATGCTGAGCTTGCGGCAGGGCCACGTTGTAGGATCATAGACTGGTTTGGGTGGGAAGGGACCTTAAGATCACTCAGTTCCAACCCCTGCCATCAGCTTGCTCCAAGCCCCATCCAACCTGGCCTTGAACACTGCAGGGATGGGGCAGCCACAGCTTCCATGGGCACCCTCACAGGGAAGAACTTCCTTATCTCCAAGCTGAACTTCCCCTGTTTCAATTTAAACCCATCACCCCTTATCCTATTGCTTCAGCGCCTGATGCAGGTCCCTCTTCAGCATCCTTGTAGCTCCCTTCAGACACTGGAAGCTGCTCTGAGGTCTCCATGCAGCTCTTCTTCTCCAGGCTGAATAGCCCCAGCTTTCTTAGCTTAACATTCAAGCAAGCTGGCTTCATCCACACAGGGTCTCATGTCCTAGCTTTTCTGGGTGATGCTAACATGAAGGACTTTAGTTTGAAAAACTGCAGGATCTGATGACCATCTCTGGTGGAGGTGGGTTTGCCAAAAGGCTGGCTGCTCTGCTCTTCAGTTGAGAGCAGGTTGTATCACTAGGTATCTGCTGTCAGTGAAGAGGGCTGCTGCATCTCCTGCTTGCCTGTGTTTTCTCTCCAGAGTTCCTTCAGTTAGCAAAGAACTTTGAAGAGTATAGGAGAAAATGGCAGGAAACAGAGCATGAGCTTGTCAGGTACAAAGACCTCCTCATGAAAACTGAAGCTGAACGTAGTGCTTTGGACGTGAAGCTGAAACATGCTCGCAACCAAGTGGATGTGGAGATCAGACGGAGGCAAAAAGCTGAAACGGACTGTGAAAAGCTGGTGAGTAATTCCTTTATTACCAGTTACTTTTCTAGAGGGCTGGAGGCAAGGTGGTGATCTATGAAAAACAAGGACTGGCACTCAGGATTACTGGTTTTATTCCTCCCTGGGAGAAATCTTGCCCTCTGTTTTGGTCTGGAAAAACGTGACCTGCTGCTGTTACCTGTTGGAGCCAGGGCTTTGCAGCCAGTAGCAGTCTGAGGGCCTATATGTGGCATCTCAAACACTTCAGATGGTTTCCTGCAGTAATTAAACACACTTCATCCTGTGGCAGCTTCTGATATGCTCTACCTTTACAGGAGCGGCAAATGCAACTGATTCGAGAGCTGCTCATGTGTGATGCCTCTGGGAGTATTCAGCTCAATGAAGAGCAGAAGTCTGCCCTCGCCTTTCTTAACAAGCAACAGGCTTCTACTGGGGGCTCAGGCAACAAGAGGTAGGCAGAAGAGCATTTTGTCTGAGCAAGTATCAAATGCTAAATATCCAGGCAGCCGTGTACCTCTGTGACACATGCTGCACCCTATCAGTAGGGTTTTACTTCTATTCCAGTTTGAAATACAGCTCCTCTGAGTCAGTAGCATTGTTCTGGAACCAGGGCTGACTGAAAGCCAAACTGATAACAAGTTCCTACTAATTTTCTTTTTTTTTTTAATTATTATTATTATTTTTAGGCTGTCTACAATAGATGAATCTGGCTCATTTCTGTCGGATATCAGCTTTGACAAGACTGATGAGTCACTGGTAATGTAACTTCAAGTTCCACTGTAAAACCTTGGGGTGGGGGGGGTTGGGTTAATCTCTGGAAACCCCTTGTGTTTAAATTACTGTGGTGTTTAACTGGTAGAGCTGGTTTGCATTGCTCTGATGTGCTATTGGCTAAAACTTAATGAAGTCCTGGCCAGAGGCTGTAGGGTATTTACACTGAGCTAACCAGTGCTGTGTATTTCCCACAGGACTGGGATTCCTCTGTGGTGAAAGCTGTCAGACTGAAAAGGAGAGAGAAGCGGGTATGTTCAATTCTTTCCCTTCAGATAGATTCCATTGTTAGCCTTAGCTGACACAATGGCACCATCTGTCATCTCACAGCCACCTATAATGATGTCTGAGCTACTAATCACAGTCAAACTTCAGATGGATGTGCTGCTACTTTAATTTGGATCTGTGCTGAGGATTTAGGTTGAAAGTTAATTGTGATGTTTGTCTACTGAAGACAACTGGAGCTCTGCATATCTGTTCTGTTATGGCCTAGGGTCCGTAAGAAAGCACGGGAAGACTATTAACAGCTTCCAGATTGGGGGAAAATCACGTAGAAAGTTAGCTTTCTATTTTGTAAAGGAGCTTGTGCTTGTTCTGGTCTGCTATTAGTATGCAGTAGGCACAGGTGGGAAAAGGCAGCCTGAAATCATCAGTAGCAGGGTTGGGAACAGTCTAGGACTTCTTAGTTGCCCTTTTTTTGTGTGTATGGTTTGGTTTTCTTCTCCTTTTTCTCTTTTCTGAATTGGATTACGAAGCTGGGTAGGAGAATTGCTAGAAAGAGCAATGTATTGAGGCCTTCTCATACTTCATGGCAACCTTGAAGTTGCTATGAAGAACAGGTACTGTGAAAGAAAACACTTCTGTGGCATGTGCAGATGGTTGTTTAGTCTTTCTAGTTATACTTGGCTAATATAACACTCTGTTAAGAACAGAACTGCTTCATAGTCAAAAGCATACTGTATCTTTTCAGCGGTCTTCCAGGCAGTTCATTGAAGGCCCACCATGTCCTCAGAAGAAAACCAGATCAATTGGCTCCACGGTGGACCAGGTATGCTGGTCCCTGTTGGGTTTGGGTGCACTTCCACCAATTATATGCTGCAATACCTGTTTCTAGGGTCAACAAACTAGAACATCCCATGTCCTGTCAGTATTGCATCGCTAACAGCTTATTTTTCATTACAGGGAAATGAATCCATAGTGGCAAAGACAACTCTCATGGTCCCCAATGATGGTGGCCCAATTGAAGCTATTTCTACTATCCAGACTGTGCCTTATAATCTGAAAACTCGGAGGAAGAGTGGTAGGTGTCATGTCTCCATTTGTCCAAAGTCCTGAAGCAACCACTTAGTAGGCCTTATAGAACCTAGGTAGCTGCTTCTGGCTTATGATGCACACTTGCTTTTAAAGCAAAGAGGGATAGGGTGCCAACATTCTTTTGCCTTTCAGGTCCTCTGCAGCCTTGGAGCAGCGAGTCAAGCATAGGCAGTAAGCAGCTGGAATCCAAACCGGAGACCGATGGCTCTGGCACCCCACAGAACAATGGGGGAGTGAGGCTGCACGACTTTGTTTCAAAGACGGTAGGTCTACAGGCAGGAAGAACTTGGAAAAGCATCTCCTTCCACTTTGGAATGGGTGTGATATCAGGCTCTTGGTAAGAGGCTACTCAAGTCAATATTGACTGTACCAGTTACCTGCATTAGATTAGGGAATATGTTATCCTATATGGTTATGCAGTCGAAGTCAGATTCATAGAATCGTGGAATGGTTTGTGTTGGAAGGGAGCTTAAAGCTCATCCAGTTCCAACCCCCTGCCATGGGCAGGGAAACCTTCCACTAGGGCAGGTTGCTCCAAGCCCTATCCAACCTGCTGGCTCTGAACACTGCCAGGGATGGGGCAGCCACAGCTTCCATGGGCACCCTGTGCCAGTGCCTCAGCACCCTCACAGGGAAGAACTTCTTCCTTATCTCCAAGCTGACCTTCCCCTGTTTCAGTTTGAGCCCATCACTGCTTGTCCTATCGCTCCGTTCCCTGACAGAGTCCCTTTTCAGCATCCTTGTAGCCCTGTTCAGATGCTGGAAGCTGCTCTGGGGTCTCCACACAGCTTCTCCAGGCTGAACAGCCCGAACTTCCTTAGCCTGTCTTCACATGGGAAAGTCCTGCTGAGTGACTACATTGCACTAATCTCTTCCCATCTGTACATTCTGAATCATTAGGTTATCAAGCCAGAATCGTGTGTTCCATGTGGAAAGCGAGTGAAATTTGGAAAAATCTCTCTGAAGTGCAGAGACTGCCGTGTGGTTGCTCACCCAGAGTGTCGGGACCGCTGTCCTCTTCCCTGCATCCCCACCTTGACAGGCACTCCTGTTAGAATTGGAGAGGTGAGTCTGCTGGGTGAGCTGCCAACCCAAACTGGCTTGTATTTGGTTAGAGGAATGGGCTCAGGCTCTAACAAATCTGCCTTCTACAGAAGAGCTCCTGTTGCTTAAAGGTGCATGATCTACGTTAGCAAGATCGTTTGTGTTGGAAGCAGGGTACTACTTCCAACTGATAGGGATGCTGTGTTAGGAGGGTGTGGAGTTGGGAATATGGCAGCTCTGGGTAGGCAATCCTGCAGCCTTGTGCTGATGGATGTGCTTTAGATCTCGCTATGAATCCCTGAGAAATTATTTTCTATGTCTGAAGACTGAGTATTCCTTCATTTTTCCTTTTGCCTTTCAGGGGACCTTGATGGACTTTGTCCCTTCTACTCCTCCAATGATCCCTTCCATCATAGTGCACTGTGTGAATGAGATCGAGCAGCGAGGGCTGCATGAGGTAAAAAGAAAATGAGGTGTGAAACAGTGCTGATGAAATGGGTTGTGGTGTTAGGGAGGCAAATGAACCCAAGCATCCCTTACTCATTGTGTGCATAGTGCTGGTCAGTGGGTGACTGTGGGTGAGCAACAGTGGCTGTACAGAGTGCCCAGGTGTGGAGAGCAAGTGGGAGCAGGATGTCAGTTTTGTATGTGCTCTTGATTCTCTGCCTCTAAGCAATGCTTTCTGTTACAGACGGGCCTTTACCGGGTGTCTGGCTGTGACAAGACAGTGAGGGAACTGAAAGAGAAGTTTCTTAGAGCAAAAAATGTTCCTTTGCTCAGCAAAGTGGATGACATCCATGCTATCTGTGGCCTTCTCAAGGACTTTCTGCGCAGCCTGAAAGAGCCCCTTCTCACGTTCCGGTTAAACAAGACTTTTATGGAAGCTGCAGGTGAGGAAGCTGCTAAATGGCATCTCCAAATCTTTCCCTAGGCTTGACGGTCACAGGTTTAGATGTCATGTCCACTGGGAAGACCCCAGGGCTCTGTGGAGCCCTCATGCTTGCAGCTGTGTTGATGATGTGCCATGTGCTTGAAGGATATCTCTTCTGCTGTACTCCTCTGGAAGAGGAAGGAAACAAGTTCTGCTACTTGGGCAGGATACCAGATTACTGCAGTGGCAGTAAATGTAAAGTTTCTGGCTTCCTTGTTTCTCAGGATAGCTACTGCTGTGAGGGGAGTATTGCAGCTGTGCCTCTGGGACTACCTTCTGAGGTTTAAACATATTGTTTTTTTTCTCCTAGAAATCTCAGATGAGGACAACAGCATTGCTGCTATGTACCAAGCAGTTGGTGAGCTTCCTCAGGCCAATAGGGACACCCTGGCTTTCCTCATGATCCACCTGCAGAGGTATGTCCAGATGGACTGGCAGTTCTGAAAGAGGGATGTTGCCACTGGTGCCCTCTTGAAATGGGCTTTTGTTATTGCTTGTGAGCATAAAGTCTTCATCCTGGGGGAAAAAAACGCTTATTCAGAAGCTGCAGTGGGTATGGGTTGGGGGAGTTGTATTACAAATGAAGGGGAGAAGCTACATCCTCTTTTTGTTTTTAATATAGGGTGGCTCAGAGCCCAGAGACTAAAATGGACGTTGCCAACTTGGCCAAAGTCTTTGGCCCCACAATAGTTGCTCATGCTGTACCTGATCCTGACCCTATGATGCTCCTGCAGGACACGAAGCGACAGCCTAAGGTGAGTGAGCAGAAAGACCTGCTTGGGGTGAATGTATCCCCTTTAACAGGTTCAAGTGAATTGCTGGAGGGAGCTGAGGTGATGCTGGTCCTAGTGTCAGTGTGTCAAAGCTGTGTGCTGGTCTGTAACATCATCCCCCTGTACTTGGCACTGGTAAGGCTGCACCAGTTCTGGGTCTCTTGCTACAAGAGAAACGTGGAGGTGCTTGATGGGGTCCAGAGAAGGCCAGTGGAGCTGGGGAAGGGCCTGGAGCACAAGTGTGATGAGGAATAGCTGAGGGACTGGGGGTGTGGGGGTATTTAGTCTGGAGAAGAGAAAGCTCGGGTGGACCTTATCGTGCTCTACAACTGCCTGACAGGAGGATGTAGTGAGGTGGGGATCAGTCTCTGCTCCCAAGGAGCAAGGGGTGGGGCAAGAGGAAGAGGCCTCAAGCTGCACCAGGGCAGGTTTAGATGGAGCTGAGGAGTAATTCCATCCCCAAAGGGTGCTCAGGCATTGGAACAGGCTGCCCAGGGCAGTGCTGGAGTCACCGTCCCTGCAAGTGTTCCCAAACCGTGTAGCCAAGGCCCTCAGTGCATGAGTTCGTGATGGACTTGGCAGTGCTGGGGTAATGGTTGGACTTGATGATCTTAATGGACTTTTCCAACCTGGTTGATTCTGTGATTCCATGATTCTATTCACTGGTCTCTCTGTAGGTAGTGGAGCGACTTCTGTTGCTGCCTATGGACTACTGGAGCCAGCTGATGATGGTGGAGCAAGAAAACATTGACCCAGCACATGTAATTGAGAATGCCAATGCCTACTCCACACCACAGACACCAGATGTTAAAGGTAACCCCCGAGTTCTGCTTTACTCCTTACTGGCTGTGCAACTGCTGTTGTAAAAATAATGCCCCTCAGTCAGAGCTGCTTGAGACTCTGGAGCGTTCCTGCATGCTTCATGGAGGAAGAGGGAAGAACATGCCAGAAAAACACTAGCATTGTCTAGTATTTTTGGCAGATGCTAGGGAATGTTCAGCCTGGAGAAGAGAAGGCTGCATGGAGACCTCAGAGCAGCCTTCCAGTATCTGAAGGGGGCCTATAGGGATGCTGGGGAGGGACCCTTCATTAGGGACTGCAGTGACAGGACAAGGGGTAACGGGTTCAAACTGAAACAGGGGAAGTTTAGAGTGGATCTAAGGAGGAAATTCTTTGCTGTGAGGGTGCTGAGGCACTGGAATGGGTTGCCCAGGGAGGTAGGGAATGCTCCATCCCTGGCAGTGTTCAAGACCAGGTTGGACGAGGCCTTGGGTGATATGGTTTAGTGTGAGGTGTCCCTGCCCATGGCAGGGGGGTTGGAACTGGATGATCTTAAGGCTCTTTCCAACCCTAACTGTTCTATGATTCTATATCTGATGTTCCTTGCATGGCAATGAGCACTTCAGCTGCCCCTATGTTGCTCACTTCACTCCCTCTCTTTTGGCAGTGAGCATACTTGGGCCCCTCACTTCTCCAGAGCACCAGCTCTCCAAGACTCCATCATCCAGCTCCCTGTCCCAGAGGGTCCGCTCTACCTTCAGCAAAACCACCCCCAGGTAAGTGCCAGTGGGATGTTATGGAGCTGTTGGGTTCAGTGCAGGTGAAGTACTAAAATGAGACTTTTGGAACCTGTTCTGGGAGCAGCCTGGATTTACTAAGCCAACTCTCCCTTCATGAGTGCTGTAGTAACAGTGCAAGCTGCACAATGGTTTAATTAGTGGCCTCTTATGGTAGGGAGAGCAATGCTTTGTGTGGGAGATGGGTACAAGTTGGGTGAAAGTCCCCTGGGGAAGGGGAAGTGTTAGACCTCTGTATCCTAAATGCAAACCTGATATTTTTCTTACTTCTCTTGATCTAGATTCGGGAGCAAAGGCAAGTCAACAGCCCAACTTGGGCATCAGTATAACTTTTTTGCTTCTCCTGTGCTGAAGTGAAGTGGACCTGGGAAGTAGCCATTGTCCTAGCATTTGCACACCAGTATGCACCAGTACAAGAAACACCAGTCCTCTCTGTGGCCATTGGCAGCTTATGTAATAAGATCTCTTTCCGTTTAGCTTCCAGCTTAACTGAGACTTTTAATGGGATTTTATTGTGCAATGTATTTTTATTATCTAATGCTGTGCTGAATTTTAGTATTGGTGAAGAAAGTAATATCAGGATTTGTTCTAAGTTTTAATAAAAAAAAAATGCTAGAGGAACTTGCTGACACTTTTCAATAGCATCCAGTCTCGTAGCTGTATGGAGTGGAACAGTCATATAAGGATTGTGAGCTTGTTGGGTTTTGCTGTTTGGTTTTTAAAGCTCAATTTTGGTTTTTAAAGCTTCTCTTCACACAGCAGTGACGCTGATTTGTTGCAATCCAGTGTTTCCAGCAGCACCCAAGTCTAATTCGTGACTTGGGCTGTGGTCATGCAGCCTTTAATCCTGAGGATGGCACTGTTGCCTTTGAGCAAAGGATGCTCTCTTTAACTGCCAGAGGGGCTGTGACTTTAGTGAAGGAATGTTTCCTGGTACTGCATTTACAAGGTAAAAACTGTCTGTAGGTGCAAACCCCAAAGATTCCAGGGTAGTCTAAATGAATGACTAGTGCCGCTCATACTGGTGCGGGGATTGAGGGTGGGTTAAGAGCATCCTTGCTTTTGGGAGTCCCTGCTTTCCTGAACTGGGATATGTGGCCTGGCTCAGTGCTGTGTGAAAAGATTTATGGAACACATACAGAAGCTTATAAAGAGACTGTTTTTATTGAGCTCTGGAAAACTGTCATGACTTGTGCAGCTAAGTAAATAATGATCTGTGTGACCTGTGGTTCTGTGCTGTGGCTGATGCTTGTTACTTGTGCTATAGTTTTACCAGTGCAAGAAAGCAAAGCTCCTGTTTTTACGTTCAGGCAGAGGCAAGCACACACACGTTTCAAAGGATTCATGCCAATATAATCACAACTCTATGCTCCCTAAACAGCAGCTAGCCCTTGCTATATTTGTATTTAAAGCAATAGGACAGGCCAGGGACTATGTCTCTGCCCTGTATGCAGGTTCTTCACCCCTCCAAGCCCCCCCCCCATCAGTTAATGACCTTATGGATGAAGCCACCTTCTTATTTGCTGCAAATGAGAGTTCTGGTAATGGAAGGCACTTCTCACTCTCCCCTAAGTGGCACCTAGGTCTGATCTACAGCAACTCCAAGGGGATGATGCAGGTCTCCCTGCAAAGGACTGTGCTCAGCTCCCATGAGCCAAATTCTTCACCTTTGTTTCCATTCCCTCCTCTCAGAGAAGTGGGACTGGGGGCCTGGTGTGTAAATTTGGGGCAGTTGGTTATCTATGGGTGGGCCTGTATGTATGGACAAGGAATGGGATGGGCTGTGATGCCAATGGAACCCTTGTATCTACATGAGGTGATGGGCCTGCTGTTGGGGAGAGAGAGAGATGCTAGGCCTGAATGCCTTCTAGCTTTGCAGATAGGATTCCCTGCTTTGCCCAGGCTGGGGCTCCTGCCCTCACTCTAGCTCGACTGCAGAGAATTCGGCAGGCAAGTGGCGGTCAGTGTCTTCCATGGCACGGTGAATAGCAGCAGCAGCCTCACCGTGGTAGTGCTGAGCCAGCTGGGTCAGCTTCTGGGCACACTTCCTCCTCATTGCTGTTGCCATGGGAATCCGGTACCCATCCATAAACTTGGCTTTTGCTTCATCAAGAGACTTCTTCTTGTAGAAGAAGAAGTTTCCCCAGTAGAGATTAAGGGCTTGAAGGCTTTTGAGGCTCAGGGTGTCCTTTCTCTCCTGCAGCTCCCTGTAGATCTTCTCTTCCTGTGCTGGGTCTCTTGCGCCATAGAACTCTGCTAATTGCAGCTTTACAAACACGAGGTCTGGATGTTCCTGAAGAATTTGGTTGAGGTCTTTGATGGCTGCTTCCAGTATGTTATTCTTGTCTTTGTTATTTGCATTGAGCCACTGTTTCTTATAGCACTTGGCCAGGGCTTGATAGAGAAGGTGATAACCTGGATTCTGCTCCAGGGCTTGCTGTAATATCTTAATTGCTTTCTGTATAGCATTCCTTTTCAGCCAAAAGGAAGATGAAGCCTTGAGGACATCAGGATCAGAGCTTTTCTCTACGTTTTCTTCTATCAAGCTAATTGATCTTTCTGTATCTGCTTGTTCAAGTAGCATGGCTAAACACATTTTGGCTCTGTAGTTATTTGGGTGCTCCAGAACAGTTTTTTCCAGTTGGATTCTAGCTTCCTCTGCAATATCAGGATACCAGAAGTAATTCCAGCAGGAGTAAAGAGCCATTCCAAGCCCAGCATGGAAATTCCTGTTCTCCGGTTCAAGCATCAATGCCACTTCAAAGCACTCTCTTGCCCGTTCCCCATTCCGGGCTCTGATAGCCAGGAGGGACTAGCCTTTCTGGGCCTGGATGTGTGGGATCAGCTGTGCATCTAAAGGAGTTGTGCAGAGCTGCTCAACTTGTTGCAGATAGCTTTCAGCCTCCTGGTAAGAGGCCTGAAGGTAGTGAATCCAAGCATAATTCCCATATATAACCAATGAACCAGCAGCAGATGCCTGCTGCTCGTCTTGCCTCTCATACTCTTCAGCATCTTTAAGGCTTTGCAGAGCTTCTCTGCTCTGACCTTCCAGCTGGTACAGGTATGCCTGCAGCCCCAAGAGTGCTGCCTGGTTTTGGTGGGGTGTGTACTTGATTTCAACAGCCAGCTTCTGCAGGACATGGCTAATATCAATGTGGCCTGCTATACTCAAATGCCAGGTGAAATGGCATTGAAGGGCATCCAACTTTTCCTTCAGCTCTTCCTTGCTGCAGAAAGGAAAAGGTGAGTTAGGAATAGGCAGCATGTGGTGTCCTGTGGTACCCACACAGAGCCCAAAGGAGCTCCTAGCTGTGCTTGAAGCAAAAAGGAGGGAGAGGTGGAGGATGGGGCTCTCCCCACTCAAGCTACTCAAAATCCTGTGAATCTTTGTTCCAATCAACCCATTTTCAGGGAGCCATCAGGGAGGCTTCCTGGCTTCTTGGCCTCCAGTGCCTGAAGCCAGGGCTGCTGCTCTTACCCAATGCCTCCAGGATGGACTTCAAGAAACAGGAAGAGTAGAGCCAGCCAAAACCACACAATGAAAACTTCTCTGTTCCCCATGAGAAAGAAAGAAATAGGGGCTGTGCCTTCCTGGGAGTGATGCATCAAGAGATGGCTCAGCAGGGAAAGTCCAACACAGAGCCATGCAGATGTTGGACTTAGAGCATCTCTTATCTGAGGAAAGGCTGAAAGAGCTGGGCCTCTTTTGCCTAGAGAAGAGAAGGCTCAGAGGCATCTTAGAAACACACATAAAAACCTGAAGGCAGAGGCAAGCTTTTTATCAGTGGTGCCCAGGGTTTGGGACAAAAAGCAGTGGGCAGCTGGGGGGGAAGCTTTATCATGAACCTCTTTGTCTTTTAGTTGTGAGAATGGTAGAGTACCAGAACAGCTTGCCCAGGGGGGCGATGGAGTCTCCATCCTTGGAGATATTCAAAAGCTGTTTGGATGTGGTCGTGGGCAACCTGCTCTTAGGTGACCCTGCTTGAGCAGAGGCTTGGTCAAGGTGTAACTTCCAGGACCTTTTGCAGAGTGAAGTCAACCCAAAACCATTCTCTCTGGAGCAGCTACAAGAACGGAAGCTGTGCACTTACCTCATGCTCGCTGTGGCTGGAGCAGCACCCTTAGGGAGTGATGGCTTGGGCTGGATCTCTTCCACACTGCAGCAGATGCACAGGGTAGCAGTGAGTGTGTAACTTACCAACTGACCCTTAAATAGCGTTTCTTTCTGGGTGGGGTCTGATGAAACTGTTGGACTTGGAAGAAACAAAACTGAAAGAAAAGACTTAAACCAGAAAATGATGTATCCTGATGTCCCTGCCTAGAAGCTACTACCTTCCCTTCCCAAAATGGGACTGGGATCGGGATAAAGGAGAATGAAGACCCATTCAGAGCAGAACTTAACCCTGGAGCCCTTCTTCCCCTTGCAACTGGCTTTGTTAGCATTAAAGCTTTTAAGAAGTACCAGGGTTAAGGTGATAGAAGCTTCTGGGCAACTGAGTGTAACTATGGCATTGCCATCATTGTTGAAAGGCTCTGCCTGGCTCTCAGACCTTGGCACTGGGCTTGTTGGGCTGGTTCTGTCTGGATCTGTCCCAGCCTGCCTGGCACTTTGCAGTGGTTTGCTTAGCTGTAACTCCCTAGCAACAAGGTCCTCCTTACCCACTCGAGTTTGAGGTATTGAACTGGCATGGGTTTGTATAACTGAGGTACAAGGGCTGGGCCTGCCATAGAGCCCATGTACTTGCTTGAGCAGGTTGTGCTGAGGGTGGGTCACTGGTGGGGTGTTAGCAACTCGGTGGTGATCCATGCTGGTCGTTGATGAACACGGTTGGGTAAGTGACAGGAGCCAGTCTTAGAGGTAACATAACCCCGGTAAAACACCGGAGCCACAGAGGACACACAGTGTATCTTCTGTAACATGGCATTGCAGCTTTATGAAGAAAGATTCAAGTACAGAGACCAGTAGAAAATCCATTAAAAACCAATCAAGTAGCCCCAAGTAGGTAGTAAATGAAGAAACCATCAAGCCTATAATCATATTCTTCCTAGCAAAGAAGAAATGAAACCCATCAACATCACTTTTTCCCCCTCAGGATGTGGATGAGTCACTGCAGCAAAGGAAGGAGGGTGAATTTGTCATTAAAGGATTGGGATAGGTACTTTTGTCTGATGTGTTTGTTGGGTTTTATTACTGACAGCCTTTAATAGCAATGGAATAATTTGGATATTAGCTGTTAGCACTGCTGGAAGAGGTTGAGCAGTAAAGGATTATAGAATCACATACTACTTAAGGGTGGAAAGGACCTTAACATAATCTAGTTCCACTCCCCTCCCATGGGTAGGGATGTCTTGCACTAGACCATGTTGCCCAAGGCTCTGTCCAGCCTGGCCTTGAACACTGCAAGGGATGGGGCAGCCACAGCTTCTCTGGGCACCCTGTGCCAGTGCCTCAGCACCCTCACATCACCCTCACAGCACCCTCTTCTCCCTTATCTCCAACCTGAACTCCCCCTATTCCAGTCTGAACCCACCACCCCTTGTCCCATCTCTCCAGTCCCTGATGCAGGTCCCTCTCCAGCATCCTTGTAGCCCCC